CCTGCTGAAACACACCACAACGAGCTCATCGTCCTCCAAGAGATCCTTGTGTTTTGGCTCGGGGGAAAGAAAGAATCACCCAAGAGATCCTCGTGTTCGGCTCCGAAATAAAGAATCACCCATCCATCGCCGCTGTCGAATCCCAAGACGGCACCCAAGCGCAGGGGTCCCCCGGGGACAGCTGGGTTTAAGCAAACTGCTCACACTGGAGAAAAAAAAAAACCTGAACTAAACTAAGCCAGCGCCTGTTGGCTCGTGCGCATGGGCTCGCGTTCAAGCTGCCCGAGTCAGCAGAGCTCAGGAAGCCTTGCGTGCTTCTGGAAGACAGAGCCGTAGGAAGCATGACACATCTCGAGATGTTGGCCCCGCTCCCCGGGATGTTTATGGTCAGCGAGAGCTTGCCACGATTTCACAGACTTCGCATAAACATCTGGATGAAGGACTCTACCGAGGCTTAAGCGGAGACGCTGTACCGGCGCGGGGCTGGCAAGTGCCGCGTTACGCCTGAGCCGGAGCAGCAGGACCTCAACGGGGGTGTGCAGGGGAGCCGGCAGCTTCAGGCACCCGTCCACCATGAGCGCCGGCACATCTCCATCGGAGAGAAGAGCAACACGGGGTGACTCACTCGCCCACCTAAGCCGCTCCACCAGGGTCCCCGTCTGGCTGTTGAGCTCCGATCGAGGAGGAAAAAGATGAAGCCAGGGATGAGGTGCCTCATCTCACCGGTCACCAAGCGCTGGAGAAGTCCCACTGGAGTGGAAAGCAGACGTTAAATGTCTGGATGGGAGCCACACCGCAGCTTTGAACCCTTCCCTTTGGCTCTCCCGGGGCAGCGCAGTCCCTCCAGCCCTTGTAGGACTTGCCAGGGCCACCCAGGGGTGGCCAGAAGATGTGAAATTTTTATCTCCCAAACCTTGACCATTTGGGCGCCGTCATCTTCTCAGAAACAGCTGCACAGCGACACGCGGTTTGTTTTCCAAGAAAGAGGCCAACCTGCGGGTCTGCGAGCCAAAGAGCAGAGCCAGGAGAGGACGAGCCGTCTGCCCGGAGGAAGGGCCGCACCCTTCCACAACCGACGGAGCCAGGAGACGTCCCCGCAGCAGCCTGGGGACCTCGGGGAGGGTCTCCACCGTGGTTTTGCCCACCGCAACCCAACGGTGAGGGCTCGTGAGGGCTTTGGAGACCAAGCGGGACCAAGCTACTCAAGGTAGAGAAGGAGAAGCATCACAGCAGTGTAAAACCCAGCGGGATGCATGAATGCAGAGGAAGATCTACAGAAGATCACGAAGGCTGCTGGAAAAAACATCTATGGGGGCAAAGACTCAACCGAGAAGGAAGCACTAAAGAGTCTCCTGGAGAGCCCGAGCAGCCGCCGGTGATGTCCCATACCTGCTCCTGACCCATTAGAAAGGTCCCTGATGTGGAGGAGAGCCGGGCAGCAGCACCC